AACAAACTTGCTGTGTAAAAACTTTCATCAAAAGCTCAATACAAATTTTTTAAAAATTATAAACGTAATATACAGGCACAGTGATCAAAACAGCCTGGTATACCGGCATAGCAACAGACATGGAATAGAACTGAGAGTCTAGAAATAAACCCACACATTTATGATCAACTGATTTTTTTAAAAGAGTGCTAATTCCATTTGATGGGGAAAGAAGAATCTCTTCAACAAATGATCCTGAGAATACTGGGTTTCCTTGTGTAGAAAAATCAAACAGGATCCTCACCTCACACCATATATAGAAACATTAAAAATGGACTAAAGACCAACTTTCAACAATGGATTATATAATAACAAAAAATCATACATACCAAAAGACTAAATCAATGGGACCGCATAAAACTTTAAAAGTTTTCTTCATCAAAAAATTTTACCAAAAAAATGAAAAGACAAGACTGAAAGAATAGTGTCAGAAACCATACATTCAATAAGAATCTAAGAAATACAACAAATAGAAAACTTTGACAAGAAAAATAACCCAATCAAAATAGGAACAGAATTTGAAAAGACCAAAGAAAACATTAAAATAGTCACAAAATACATGAAAAGACACTGAGCCTCACCAGCCAACAGAAGGGAGTGGAGGAAAACCACAATGAGATACAATCTCAATGAGATACAATTTACAAATGGCGAGGACATGAGGAAATTGGAAACTGGACCCCATTGTCCCCCATTATTGCAGGTAGAAATGCAAAATGGAATAGCTGCTATAGAAAACAAAAACTAAAAAAAAACCACCTTGTTGATGTTTTAGTTCAGTGACTTGGAGTCAGTTCCAACCCAAAGAGCCCTGTGTAGGGTTTCTGAGGAGTGGCTGGTGGGTTTGAACTACCAACACCCTCACTGTTGGAACTGACCTTAAAGTCCAGTGCATTACACTGCAGCACTACACCAGAACCAGCATATGACACAGAAATTCCACTTCCTGAAAAAGACTTAAAAGCAGACTTAAAAAGCAACTGGAAGAGATCTTATTTGTGCTCATTCCAAAGAAATGACCCAACT